AATAATAAGACAAAAGTTTACATTAGTCAAGCTATGCTAACAGTCCAGTAGCTAATGCTGAAGGACTTACTGGGAGAGAATATTGTGTACGTAATGTCCTTGTGGTAAAACCGCCGGCTGCGAGAGAGAAAACGTTTGAGCTTCCATACTGTTTCAGAAATAATGCCTGAAGTGATTGGGGCAGCATATATATTGGCATTTAACACCAGCAGCGTTTTAGCCTGACGCTTCTCCCCGGTAGAAAACTTCTCTTAGCTGCATGACGCTACAAAGGGCGTGGCTAGCAGAGACTGTTCCATTTTAAAAGGGCAGAATCACCTTTTTGTGGAACAGGGCGGAATAGAGGGGTATAGAGCATATAGGCATAGCTACTGATGGGTGATCTGTTTGGTACTATAAGCAAAAACCCAGACAGGTTTTGATAGCGGATGGCCCTAACAATATATTTTTTTCAAATATAAGCTAATAGGTCCACTTGAATTTAATAAGCCTCTGAAAGCAGAGTCAAGGGAAATAATTGCAAGCAAATATTCACCACAATTACAACAACAATGTAAAATGTCCTTTAAAGATAAATTCAGTAACAAAAACACAGGTTTTCCATCAATGTATAATAGCATGTATTTTGATCACAAATTAATGTCTGTTCTGGTGGTAACCACACTAACCCTTTCTCTGTTATTCAGTAACTATAAAATCCCATGAACTTTTAGAGATAAAGTAAAGTAGTAACCTCATCATATACTAATCAATCAAAACAACACATGAATATACAAAGTCGTTCTTTCAAAATCAAGCACTATTTCAGTATTTATCATGCTGGGTCATCTGCCAGAAATTGACTTAAAACCAAACCCATAACCAACCTCCTCCTGCTGCTTACTGCCTCTGAGCTCTGTGTGTGATCTCTGATACCTTCTGTGCATCAGACAGGACACACACACGCACAACCACACACACGCACGAGGCGCACACGTAATTCCCCTACCACAGCAAGGGAGCCATGCTCTGAAGCTGTGTAGATCATAAGATTTCTTGCAATGGCGGGGGGGGGGGGGCACCGAATCTTGTGATCATTAGTCATCTGTTGAACGTTGTTCTCGAGCGCTGGCCTGTATTTTGTGTGTCCTTTCATTCTGTGCTCATTAATACCTGGTATTCCAGTGACCATGCTGATAGTAATAATTCGCCACATGCCTGTGCCTTTGAACTAAGTCGATGAAGTGTGCCTATTTTTCATAGACACAAGCCACACACGCATGGGCGCACAATCATACACACACACTCTTTTTGACATTGTTTTTTTACCTTCGATATCAAGATAATGTTGGCTATTTCCTAAAACGTCTAGTGTTCTGAATTTCTCCTCTCCATTCAAAAATAACTTTCATCACTACTTAATACCGACACCAATTAGCTATTAGGACACTTGAAGTCCGTACACAAACATCCAAACACATTGTGGTTTCCTTATCCATTTAAAAGAGTGGTGGGCCCCCTGTTATTGTGAACCGCCCTGGGGAATCCCCAAATTGCCTCCCAGGCCCAGTTGTGAGACATAAGGACCTCCACCTGGCGTCCTGGGTCTGCCCCTCGGTCTTCTTCCAGCTGTACGTCCTAGAACCAGCCTCCAGTTGGCTACTTTTTACTCCCCTCCCAGTTGACCCACCTTTATCCCTAAGGGGAGATGCCCAACCACCCTCCGGAGACCAGCCCATTTTAGCTCAGTATGATATGTCATCTTGCACTTTCGTCATGACGCCCCACTTTCATGACCATAGTGGAGAGTAGGAACGAGGATGGACCCAGTAGGATCGAGAGCTTTGCCCTTCCCTGGGCACGTTGGAGGACCCATCTTACCAAAAAGGCCAAAATAACCACACCTGGCCTACATGCCCATTAATAGCTAAACTCCTCTCCCCTCTTGCGTTTAATTTCAGTTATAACAGAGGTCACACATAACCGCCATTGGCTTGGCTAATATTAGATTGTCATCCCCTCCTGCCTGGCCATTCACCCTCTCTAAATCCCCTAATCCCAAGAGGAAATGAAATTGGGCTTTTAGTGCATTTCCGACCTGTCTTGGGACGAGGGAGCGCCACACAGACTGCTGTGGAACCAAACTTAAAAGCTGAATTAACCCCGATGAAGAGGGTTATCTATTAAAAGATTTACTTTTAAAAGGCTGGAAAGCAGGTGTTGGCTTTATCCAATATGAAGTACAACCGGAGGAGTTCATTAATGAAATTGATGGGCTCAAAAAAAATCCAATGCCAACTTGTGCTTTCGGCTCAGGCTAAATTCTAGAAAGTATCTTAATAGGAAATTTTAAGTTACCAACACAGGTAACGTGTTTTTCAACTCCCTGGCTTTTATCAGGGTATTTACGATTTTGGACAATTTCATCTGTCCACATGGACATTTGACCAGTTTTTAAGCCTACAATAATTTTGTCCAAACATTCAAGTGCACGTACATTGAATTTGTAAAGAAGAAAACTCAACAGTGGAACCAAGAATCCCAAACACAGATGAGAAAGTCTTGATGAGTTGAAATGATGCGGATGTAGCCATTAAACGATCAGCAAAATGACAGTTCTAAACATCACTTCCACAAACGCTTATGGCCTGTCCACACAGCAAGCCTTAAAACAAATCCTTGAAAATATTGGGGAGCTGGGCGTGTCTGAAAAGCTTGGGCGAGTTTTTTGCGAAGCAACGGAACCAACAACCAATCACATGAATCCTCCCGTCTCCGACATACAAGCAATAGCAATTTTAAAAACGAAGTTAACCTGGAATATAAAATCCACAAACAGGCGAAAACCTACCCAGTTTCACCCACTGTTCTCTTGCCACCTCCCTCATGCCTTTTGTTTTTGTTCCTTCCGGTTTGTATCCCAGTTATTAGCGACTTGGTCATAAAGAACCGGGTGATTTGCTACCGCAATAACTAATTTCTCCTCAATTTTCAGGAATATAGAAAATGAACTGCGGTCTGGCTCTCCCAGCTTGCACGCCGTTTTATTGGCTATCGCTTGTACTGTCAGATTTGCATAAACGGGATTTGATTGGCTGACGCTTCCACCTCAGCTTCAAAAGTTGAACATTGATCAACTTTTGAATCCTGAAAATCCTGAAAATCCTGGAAATCCTGGAAATCTTCGCTTTGCTTCCCCACAATGCAGTTAGGCAAAAAGCGAGGAAAAGTGACTTCACCCCATTCAAAGTCAATGGGCAGAAGCGTTGGAAGTTTTTTTTTAACGCTGCTGTGTGGACACGCCGTTACACAAGCTTAAGAGATTTTCACGTTTTGTTCTACGACCCCCCCTACCTGAAACTCCTCAATTGGCCTCGTTTGTTCTCTTCAGTAACATAGTGACATCGTCATGTATTACTCATGTTTCTATTGGCTTCTAGTTGACCAATGACAACAAGCTCAGACAGCCAACCAATCAGAGCAGACTGGTCTCTGGTTTCAGACAGAGGGTGAAATAAGGTGCTGCAGCA